GAAAGGTCTTCTATGCCTACTTGTACCAGGATCACTTCAAACACAGCCTGTCCAAGATGGGGTTCCCTTCTCAAAAAGCATTTTCTTTTGAAAGCTGTTTTGGTCAGTAGCACCATGATTTTCCCAATCACTCAGATCTAAACTTTCATATTTAACTTTATTTTTCTTCTCCTTTGATTATAGATCTGAAATCAAAACTAAAAAGGCCTGCTGACTTTCAATCACACCGATTTATATAATAGACTACTGTAGACACAAGATAAGATAGGCCATGCCCAGAAGAGTTCAAAGTCAAGTGTCCCACTTTGCATTTCATAGATACCATTGATACTTCACAACCTCATTCTCCTGTGGTCACTTGTCTCTAAGTAGCCCCTCACTGCTCTGACTCCACACTCCCACTTAACACTCCAGTTCACACAATGGAGTACTCAGGGTATACTGAGTACTTTCCCTAATACAAAACATCTGTTGTGTAATTCTTCTGCTAGAAATATCTCCATAGGTCCTTCATATCCACAGAAGGCCCAGAGACTTTCCTCTAGTAACCAGCACCTTGTGCATCCTCAGACCCTCCCCACTCTACCAGAAGCATCCCCTTTATACCAAGGACATGTTTATAGCTCCCACTCAGACACACTTTCAATTAATTCCTAGCCTCCTCATTCCCACATTGGTCCCTCCCTCCCTTTCTATGTTTCCTTCTAGAAAACATTTCAAGAAATTATACTTTGAGTGACTTTGTACTGGTTTATCATAGCATTTGCCTAATATAATCTTCCTGATATTAAGTCATAAGTAAATTCATATTTTATTTGTTTATTTATTTTTGTCTTTCTGAACTAACCAAAAATTCCTTGAGGTCAGAAAGAAAGTACATTTTTGTTGATTATTTTCATGTATCCTTCCATTTAGCTATTTGTTGAGGTCTTCTTTGTACACATAGTAATTCCTAAACAAATATTTGTGAGTGAATAAATTGTACCCTTTTCCTAGGAAGTAGCATATTTATTTAAGAGGAAAGAAAAGACTTTTAAACTCTTATATTTTTAGTTCATTTGGCCACAGAAATCCTATAAATTTTAAATAGTCCCCAGGAGTCAACCTTAGAAAGTCTCAACAATTGGGTTTCAGATAGATTTTATTATATATTCACTTGCTCATATTCTTGAGAATTTAATGTCACTTTTGTAATGGCTGCTAAAAGAATGTTATTGCCTTTTAAAACCATACATTTTATTCTTCGGTTTGACATAAAATGCTATAAATAAATCAGATGGGAAACTATTTAGCTACTTGACATCTATAATAACAGGGGGGTGTTTCTATAAGGCCAGATTTATAAATAGGCAGAGGCTCCCAGATTTGGTTATTATAATTTAATTGCACAAACTTCTGTTGAGGGTTTGCATCATTTAGCTAACAAATATGTCCATAAAATAAGCATTATAATATAATACACATTCAAGCAAATGAATAAATGTCACTGTGACTACTCTCTTGAATTGCAACAAACAATAAGTGGTATAGCCCCAGATGTTTACTTCAATTGGCCCTGAAGGGATGGATAGGCTGCTGGGTAATCACCATGGTTACTGATTCACTCTTTGTGTGGGAATGGTACTAAGGCAAAATGGTACCATCTATCATATAGCTCCCATCCATCATAATATACAGCAGGGATGCTCATCATGCAGCTTTAAAGAGACTGCTGATTTCATTTAAGGGGGGGGGGGCGATGTAGCTCAGTTAGTAGAAATCTTAGCTAGTACACATGAAGCCCTGGGTTCAAAGTCCTGTACCACATAAACACAATCTGGTGGTGGTACACACCTGTAAGCCCAGTACTCCTGAGGTGGAGGCAGGAAGATCAGGAGTCCAAGGTCATCCTTGATTACACAAACAGTTTAAGGCCAGCTTGGAACATATAGACTTGATCTTTAAAAGAAAGAGGATAAAAGGAGTATCTTTAAAGAGAAAATATTATTTTAATTGTGTCCGATTGTGTGTGAGAACTTGCAAAGCCACTTCCAGTCTCTGAATAACACTCCTTTCTTCCAGACAGGATTTACTTTCTGCTTCTATTAGTTATCTAGGCTAAGGGTAGATCTCCTAAATCCAGCTGAGGATGGAAATAATTCTAATTTAGGTTCCAGTCCTTTTGAGAACTGGCCTTTCCAAGGGATTCTGGAAGCTCTGCTTAACTTCTCTGCCTCTTGGCCCTTTGACATTCAGCAAGCACCTTGTGAGAAAGGACAGTCCCAGATGCTGGGCTCCTTCCTCCTCCCCTGCCTCCTCAGTCCCCTGCCTCCCCTGCTTCTCCCCTGCCTCCTCAGTCCCCTGCCTCCCCTGCTTCTCCCCTGCCTCCTCAGTCCCCTGCCGCCTCCTTAACCCCCCCCACCTCCCCTGCCTCCTCAGCCCCCTGCCTCTCCTGCCTGCATAGCTTTCAGGTCCTCACACAGGTGGCCCCGCACCTTCTCTTTCTTGCCTTACTCTCAGGAGGCTTGCTTTGAATTCATGACAGGAAGAAGAGGAGCCCACAGCCCCGCTTTGATGACTGCTGTCACTTTCCCTGCCCCCCTTTTTTTCCGAGACAGGGTTTCTCTGTGTAGCTTTGGAGCCTGTCCTGGAACTCACTCTGTAGACCAGGTTGGCCTTGAACTCAGAGATCTGCTTGTCTCTGCCTCTCAAGTGCTGGGATTAAAGGCAAGTACCACCACCAGGCTCTTTTCCCTTTCTTTTAGCTAAGAAGCTTAGATTGATCCTTAATAGCTCAGTGCCTGGTGTCTCCTCCTCCTCTCTTGTCCATCCTGCCTTTATAAAAAGGTCTCTCAAAATCTAACTTTCTTTCCACTCACTGACTTAGCTTATGACTGTGCAGTTTTCTATCAGGTGTCAAGTCTGGTCTTGAACTGGATGGCACAACACAAAATATCTTGGAGCTCACAGAGTTAAACTGGAATCCCTATCTGAGCCTGTATTATTTACTTCTGTGTAGCTATGAATAAAACACCTGACAAAACACCTTAAAGTAAAGAATTATCTTTTTTTTGGCTCACAGTCACAGAAAAAAGATTTGGTCAAGGGCTCTCTACCTCATGCTTTGGATGGAGCATCATGATAGCTGGAACATGCGGCAGACGCACTTCTTCACCTCATGGCTGATGAGAAGCATCATCAGAAAAAGATGAAAAAGGACCAGGGACTAGGTATAACTTTCAAAGACGTGGGACCTGGGACCTGGGACCTACTTCTCCCAAACTGTCTTGTCTCTTGAAACTTCTAGTATCGCCCCCCTCCCCCACCCAGCAGCAACAGCATTGGGAGCCTAGCACTCAACATGTACATTTGTGGAGAGCATTAACCCCCGTCCCCCCCCCCCCACCGAAATGACAGAAGAGATGCCAGTGCGGGAGGGGGTCCGTGACATGACATCCACACGTCTATCCAACGGAGAGGAGATACTCATTTTGTGCCATGACTTAATCCAAAAGTTACTCCTTTATCCAACAGGGACTAACTGGGAGCTGTCTCCTACGGGCTGTCAACTCAGAGTATACTGAGTGAGGAGGGAGAGGAAGAGCCAAGCACCACACAGACAAGTGGGGGGTCAGCCTTCAGACCCAAAGGAGAACCAAGCAGCAAACACTTCTCAGGGCAAAGTCTCCGCAATAAGAAAGGCATACTGTTTAAAGGAGACTGTTAGCTCGTGAGCAAAGACAGCCATGTCCCCAGATCATGTAATAAAACAAGTTTATCATGGGCCAAATGCTGTGTGGGTTGCAAGCAAAGACTTGGAGTGTAGGCAACAAACCAAACCAACAAGTCAGAAGAATCAAGACTGGGAAAGCACAAGAGACAAACGACCCAGCTGTACCTGCAACAGCATTGGGAATAAAGATACCAAGCAGAGCAGACAACTAACTGGTTGATTGACTGATTGATTGATTGATTGATTGATGGGTTGACTGACTGACTAAAAGAAGTTCTAGCTATGCCTAGGACCCACTACGTAGACCTAGAACTTGTGGCAATCCTCCTGTCACTGCTTTAATTCTGGAAGTACAGGGGTAAGCTAATTCATCCATCCTGCAGACAGCTCTTGAATGGTGGCCAGGAAGCATTGTTTTGCCAAGTGGATTAATAGCTGGAGAAATTCAAGCTCCTGAATGTTGCTTGTGTTATAAAAACTAGAGAAAAATTAGAAGACAATATGTAGAAAGCAGAAATAAATAATCAGTTTTCAATTTGTTTTTAATTAATAATTTTTAATTTTGAGTATATATTGGGTGTAGGGGTATAAGTGGTGTGTTGACTTGTGTGTGTGCCTGTGTGTGAACATGGAGGCCAGAAGAGGAGGCTTAAGTGCCCGACTCTATTACTTTTCATCTTAGTCCCTTGAGACAAGGTCTCTCACCAAACTTGGAGCTAGTCTGATGGCCAGCAAGTTCACTGATCCTCCTGTCTCCACTTCCCACAGCATTGGGGATACCAGTGCACAGGATACCAGTGCACAGGACCATGCCCAGCTTCTTATGTGGGATTCGAACACAGGTCTTCATGCTTATACAGCAAGCCCTTTAAACTCTGAGCCATCTCCTCAGTTCAGTCTCTGTTCCAAAGTGATGGGATCATGGTCAATTATCTTCCTTCCACGCTTTCCCAGAATTCCCTGATGCTATAACATTTTATTTACAAAATAAATACTGAGTAAGTGGAAATGACACGACATCAATCTAACACACAATAAATGACATAATAAAAGCTTTCCTTTGAACATTGGTTTCCTTGGAGGTAATTCCAGTAGCAAAATTATAAATGCTTGTATTAGCCATTGGCATAGAGTACAATAGTTTCACAAGACTGTAGAGTTCAGCTTTTCTGGTTTCCTGTTAGCCCCTCCCACCTTCTTGTTTAACAACATGCTGCTTTTATTCCCTAAAAATCAAGTGAATGATATATTTTCCCACTCATATTACTTATGAAAATTTGTTTTTTACCTGAAATTCTCATACTCTTCTGCTTGTCGTCTCCATGGACATCTCTGTATGTTTGTGGTGATCTGAATGTAGTCATCCTCTGAATACCTGGGAGTTGAATACCAACCAGATTAGACAAGGAAGTCTCACATGGGGACACTTCTATAATCGCCTCATTTTAGCCCTGAAATCAAGCAAAAATCATTAAGTATCATACTCGCTCCCAAGTGTCTAGGAACATACAGCCTGAAATTTGTTATTATTATTATGCTGGTTTAAGAATGTATATACTGCAAACCTCCTAAGCCAAGTTCAGGATTACAACCTGTGAACATGTTCTCTCTGTGTGTCTCCTTTTCTCTGTCTGTCTCTGTCTCTCTCTCACACACACATACATAAAACCAATCTTATATTAACTTTAACTGAAGGGCAGATAAATTCTTTCTAAATGTTGATCATGAACATATAGCTGTTTTTTTTTCAGGTTCTGTCAGTAGCTTCACATTGGAATATGTAGTTAGAACCCCCTTACACATACACACACACACACACACACACACACACACACACACACACACACACACACACACGTAATCATCTAGTTTTGATTTTCTGCAATACATTCAAACTCCAGACTGGGCTGTGGTGAGAGAGCTGTAAAAGCTACAGACAGTGACACAGTCTGATAAGACAGGCATGGGACAAATATCCCAGCGCCCTTAGATCTCTCTCAATCTGAAATTCCACCATTAAGTATTAATTCCTAAAGCACAGAATGCTGTTTCATCTTTAAGGGTGTTCATTTGAAATGCAAATATTCCTCTGAATTGAGGGGAAAAAAACACCTTGAGTTTTCCTTCCATTCCTCTCTCAGCCATCAGGTTGCCGCCATTAAAGATCAAAGCTGTGCAACAGAGGGGGGGGCGGCGGGGGGGGGGGGGGGAATGAATGTGAGACTGTGTTGGTGAGTCTGTAGAGAAGAGAAAAGGAACACACAGTTTTACCTTGGAGAAAGAGTCCATTACCCATAAGGACGCAATGAAGATTCTCCAAGGTTATCTCTAAAAGGAAGCATTTCTGACAGGCAGAGGTGTAGTCAACCACAGAACTCCTTTGTAGCTGAAATTTACCTTCCCCTTGGGTTTCTCCTTCCAACAATGCTAGCAACAGGAATCAACGCGGTTCCCACTGACTCGTGGATGAACCCAGAAAAATCTTCTAAGAACATAGTGAACACTGAAAGCTAAGCAAACAGAGAGCTTCCACCATAAGGATTAAAAATAGTTTGAAGTGCACAGTTCCCCAACACAGCAGACTCAGATCACTACATGGGTCTAATACTCTTCTTAGTATACTACACCATAAAAGCCCCATGCTCTGACCCCCAAACTGTCTAGAAATTTCTGGGCTGAGGTGTAGAACCTGCCTCTATGGGGTTGAAGACAGCCAAAGACCTTTTGCAAATGACTGTTAAAACTAAGCTTGAAAAAACACCCATTGAGCAACGTACCGAAAGCATTCTCAATTCTGGATCCTTAAGAGATTCACTGCTGTGACATCTCTCCTGTCTAGAGAAGTCTTATCAATTACTAAGGCATGGCTTTAAATCTTTTCAGAATGTTATCAGGACAAGCAGAGCCCTGTATGTACAAGAGGCCATGAACCAAGGTAAGCAAACAACTTTTGTTCACTGAGCTCCATCAGAGAAAGAGTGTAAGGGAGAGGGAAGACCAAACATATATCTAATTAAATCAATGAGAATTGCAACTGCATTTGAAGCCAATATAAAGTGTAAGTGGAAGATAAAGGAGATAGAAAGCTATTGTCTCATCATCAAACTAAATGTATCAGACTCTAAATTTTATTGGCATGCTATTTATAAGACAAAAGAGAAATGAAATGTTTTATGATATATGGCTGAAATTAGTGAACTTGAAGATTGAGCAATAAAAACTATTGAAAATTAAAAACAAATGGGGAAAACTAAAGGAAATGTAAACAAGCTGAGCCTGGGAGTACAAGCCTATAATTCCAGTATTCAGGGGGTGCTGAAGCAGAAGGATCATGAGTTCTAGCTGAGCCAGGCTCCATATCAAGACCCCATATTGCTTTAACATACTGACAAGTAAATATGAACTTTCAAAAGAAGAGGAAAAATTAGCAAAAAAACCAACCTCAAATGGTTTGATATATGTATAATTATAGCTCTCATAACAGAGAGGAAAAGCATCTTTGAAGTCTGATGGGATTTATCACTAAAACTAACGAAAACTATAAATCTACACCTGTAAGAATTCCAAGAAACACAAAGCACAAGAAACGGGAAGAAAATGACAACGTAAGAATTAATTCTTAGCGGCAGCAAAGAGAAAAACCTTGAATGTAATGAAATTCAACACAATCTGTACAAAGAAACCACAGCCTGCAGCCCGCTTCTTCTTAGAAAGAATGGGAGCTGGAAGCAGTGAACAGTGACATAAACTGCAGACTGAGGCTAAGGGAAAGCTCGTTCTAGAATTCCATACTCAGAAAAGTCTTTCAAAAAAATGAAGTTAAAATAAGCACTTTGTCAGCAGCAGTGTTGGAGGGAGTCTCTAGGCAGAAAGCCATGAAGGCAAATGGGTGTCCGGGTTGACAAAATGTAGTGAAGAACTCTAGGAACAGAACACATAAACACATGCAGGAACCTTTTCCTTTCTTTCCTACATGTCTTTAAAAGGCAACCGAGGGTTGGGAGACGGCTCAGTCGGTAAAGAGCTTGCCTGGCAAGCAAGAGGACCTGAGTTTGATTCCCAGAACCCAGGTAAAACTGACAGTCAGGATGGCACACATGTTTGTAATCTCCGCAGGAAAGTGCAGACAGCAGGACCCCTGTGGCTTCCTGGCTGCCAAAGTTGCAAAAGACCCTATCTCAAAGGAAGTGGACAGCATTCCTAAGGATGATACTCAAGACAGATCTCTGTCCTCTGGCATGTGCACACCCCCTCCCCCGCCACACAATTTCTTTAAGTTAAAAAAAAAAAAGCAAAGAAAAAAATTGACAGTTTAAAGATAGCAATAATAGGTGGAAATGGTTATAGCATTTGTAAAATAAATATAATCACGATTATGGAACAAAGCCTAGAGGGCAAGGGTGGAGAGGAAGAAGCAGGAGTAGAAGATGTAAAAAGCTTCTGAAAGGAGACTACAGTGGGAAATGAGATGTTTGCTCTATCTAAAATAAAGAAAGCCACACAAATGCAGTCATAAAATACTCAAAGCAAGAGGAAGTGGATAAAACAGGTAAATCTAAAACAAATAGCAAGAGAGTAGAGTAAATATAGCTATATGAAGAATAATAGTAAATGTAAATGATCTAGAAACACCCATCAGATGGCAGAGAATGATAGACTGATTTTTTTTTTTTTGAGACAGGGTTTCTCTGTGTAACAGCCCTGGCTGTCCTAGAACTCACTTTGTAGACCAGGCTGGCCTCAAACTCATAGAGATGCACCTGCCTCTGCCTCCCAAGTGCTGGGATTAAAGGCATGCGCCACTAGACCTGACTCAGATTGAATTTTTTAAAAAGCAGTAAAGTATATGATTTTTTTTTTGCAAGACCAACATCATACAAACAAGCAAACTTTGTAGAAAACAGCAGAATGATAACCACAGTGGAGATAATTAAAACAAAGTATGAGTGGCTAAAGTCACAGTATAACCCAAACAAGAAATACTACCTTATAAAAGCAATATTAATGAGGGAGGACTATTATCGTGAAAACAGGGTAATATCAGAAATAAAACTTATAAACCTGTTGTTACCATGCCTGACCAAGGAAAAGTGAGAGAAGATATGGTGTTGGGAACGAGAGCCCAAAGAGCAGCCGTCCTAATGGTCTGCTAATGTGTCCAGAACAGTTTGGCTGACTTAATGCAATGGTTGTACTTACTAAAAGGTAAAACTACCCAAACCTAGTCGATGAATAGTATCACTGATATTTTAAAACTGCAATGAAAATACTTTCTGAACAGAAAACAGGCACACAAACAGCGTCAGTGGTTTTATCAAACATTTTAGGACTGTTAATACAGACTGTTAATACAAACTATACATCTATGCAAACCCCAAGAAACCTGAAGCGCTGGGTGTCTCCCAACTCACTCTATAAGAACAGTATTGCCCTGGCCCCAAAGTCAGGATAAAAATACTGTTTTTAGAAGTACAAATATCCTTTATAAGCCCACATAATAAAAATGTTCAACAAAAGCTTGGTGAATTAAATCCAATGGTACATAAGAAGAGAAAATTCCATGGATAAGTGTCAGGAATACAAGGCTGGTTATGAGAAATACCAACCAATGCAACTTACTACATTAAGTAACAATGAATAAGAATCTAGTCATAATTTTAACACATGAAAACAAAAACAGCTTTCAGCCCTGCCTAACATTCAACCATCACAAAAATTTTCAACAAATTTAAAAACAGAAGGAATTTTTGCAGTTCAATGACAGGTGCTCACAAAAACAGTCTATGGCTGAAATCATACTCCATGACCAAAGTTCCCAAGAGGAGGAACATGGAAGGGTTCCCACTCTCGCCAACTATCTTCCATCTGCACTGGGGGCCCATCCAGTATAATAATGTAAGAGAGAGAAGCAAAGCCACCAGATTAAAAGGAAGTAAAATTGTCTCTACTCAGAACTCAGAGATGATACCATCATCTATCAAATCTATAGAAAAGCTACTAAAATGAGTAACTTAGCAAATCTGAAAGACACAAACTCAACACACTTATCAATTACATTGGAAGCGATGACTGGAAGTAAAATTAATATTTACTTTCACTGTGCAACAGCCTAAAATAATTGGAACTAGGACTAGCAAAGTCCCTGTGTAGATTAACATTTAAAAACATGGAGGGATAAATCTGATCAAAAATGTACTAGGCTTATGCAGTTAAAGTACAAGATATTGTAAAGAGAAATTAAAGAACTAAGTAAATGGAGCCATAGCTCATGTCAGTTGGTCAGAAGACTCAAGACTGTCAATTTTTAAACTGTAAAGAGATTTGGTGAAATTAAATAAAAATTACATCAATGTCTTGTTATTTTTAAGATAAAGT